GAAGGTTGACATGTTACTTTAAAATCAGCACAACGTTACGTTGAGGACGTAAATTATGCCGTACATGACTTCCATGTCATGATTATCATGTTTGGATGTGTCATTCACCTTCATCGTCCAATCGCGTCACATAATACAAAATTTGGTATATGTGGAACTAGCGAAACGGCCGCGAGCGCATGATGAGTGTGGCACGTAGTCATGTTATGACACCCATGTCATGATTATCATACTTGGACGTGTCATTTATCTTCGTAGTCCGTTAGCGTCACGTAATACCAGATTTGGTATATATGAAGCTGGCAAAACGGCCACGAGGGCATCATGAGCGTGACATGTAGTCATGTTGTTACATGACAAGCTTCTCATGATTATCATGTTTGCACCAGTCACATACCTTCGTCATCCATTCACGTTACATAATACCAAGGCGGTAAAGCCTGTGCAATGGCGGCGGGCTAGCCGCAATTTCCTTATCCCCCCTCTCTTAAATTTGCCCTTTACCGATCAGCAAAAGCAGCTGCACGTCACCTATGCAGTGAAAATTACACTGCTGTGAACAACAGCTAACCTCAGTCCAGCCCTGTAACTGCTGCAAAAAAAAAAAAAAAAAAAAACGAGGAACAAAGGAGAAAACATTAATAACAAAATAAACACATGACATTATAACACGTTTGCAAAAAGGAGTAAAGGAAATAAGGCTAGTGTACGTGGTGCTGAGGCAGGATAGCGTCCACCGCGCAGAGGGGCAGCAAAGTGTGATAATGTTCGGTGGGTACGATGCCCGTGTGCGAGGTCAGAGGCACGGAAGGGGCTCCCTGATGGCTCGTGGCTGCTGTTGACGATTGGTGAGCGTGTCGGACGAACACCGCTTCAGTGGTGGTTCGGAGGTCCTGAATTTCTCGATGGATGACGAGAAAACCTCGCTGGGAAGCCAGGCCTCTCCAGGGATCTGGGAGGCCGAACCGGAATTGGCTGTCAGGTGTTCTGGCGTCGCTAGGCAACATACTCTCTATTGCTGTCAGCTGCTGTCAGCTGATACAGTTAAACCTCGTTATAACGAAATGGGCTATAACGAAATAATGGATATAACGAGCAAATCCTAATTTCCCTTTAAAGTCCCCATACAAACCAATGTATTCAAAACCTCATTTTAACGAGGCAAAATTTGCCTGTTATGGGATATAACGAACAAGTTTTGTTAGGAAGTAAAATTTTGAGCCGATGTCACGACAGTGCACAACGCGAATTTGAGATGGCGCGCAACGCGAGAACTGTATTTAGCAGTTCAAAACTTCCGCCACGCGCCCTCCAGCAACGCGCGCAAAGCAGACGGCACGCGCTGTTTCCGGAGGAGAGTTCCCTGCACGTACGCCGCTTGGCTACCACCGACAGCGCAGCGCTCCGCGAACGTCTCGCCCTTTTCTTTTCTTTTGTGTCTTCTTTATATTCTCCCTCTCCCCTTTCTCATGGCGCTGAGGCGCGCTTCCTAATCTTACATACCCCCTTCCCCTTGAGTAACCGGTTCCCAGAGGGCAGCGCAAAAGAGCGCCCCTTCCTCTTCACAGTCACTTTCTCTGCAAGTGTTGTCGCTCGCCGACGTGAGCCGCGTTGCTTTTGTGTGCGTGTTTCTTCTCTTTTTCGACCGCTTCCGCCTTTTCTTTTATCGTGCTGCGCTCGTGATTCCAGCAACATGAATGCGCCAGGCGGGAAGCGAAAGCGCATAACGCTAGATCAGAAGGCGGCTATGATAAGAGCTGTCGAATCGAGGACCAAGAAAGGCAACGTGGCAAGAAAGGCAACGTGGAACAGGAGACAAACGTGCCGACGGCGTCGGAGGCATTAGACGCGGTGGACGTACTGCGCCGCTACTTCTGCGCTCACGAGAGCGGCGAAGATGGCTTGAACATTGCGGCCGCAGCTGAGAGAGCCATCGTTCGCATCAGGAAGATGCATCAACGCCCAATTACGGACTTCTTTGCAGCTAAGTCCGCCTGAAATGCAAGCTGTGTATTTTGAAGTGCATTAAAACAGGTGCATGACTTTTTTCTTTTTCATTTGGGAATGCGGTTATTTTGTTGCATACCACCGTGCGGCGGGATGCTATTTCGCCCGCTATTTTTTTGAGGTAAGTACAGTGCATAATATTTACGGTAAATGCCCGCTACGGCTATAACGAAATATTGGTTATAACGAGCAAATAGCGGCAGCCCTCTAATTTCGTTATAACAAGGTTTAACTGTAGTTGCTGTCCGCTGGCATTGCGCGGGAGCCAAGGTGGAAGAAGCAGCAGGGCTTTTCGGGGACGGCGGAGAGCAGGGCACAGCTGGACTGTCTGACGTCGCTGGGTCAGGACCCTGAGCACCTAGTGTCCACATCGATAGGACGAGACCCGGACACGCACTTCTCCCGGGCACGCACAGAAGTGTCACAAATGTACACACACATATAATCACGCACACACCACAGACGGCTGCGCGTGAGCGAAGGCGCAAAGTACCTTTCGTCCCTCTCCCCATGCATAAGCACCAATGTTCACAACTCTCTTCGCTGATAGACGAAATACAGCACAAAAATGTTAAACAGAGCAAAAATGACAATCAATATCTGGTCAAAAGAATATAAGAACAAAAAATACAAATGAAAGCTTAAAAAAAAGAAACACTGGCAACACACCGGGTGTAGCCGACTTCTTTACGAGAACAGGCCATAAAGAAGCTAACCTATACTGAGGCTAGACAGTAAACCGACTGCCTTCAGTTGCGGAAAAAGTCTGCGTCCGATGCGAAATCACAAAGATGACCGCTTCCTCAGATTATACCGGTGCGGGGTCCGAATGCGCTTCGCCGCTCCAGGTGTGCCCCGTTGCTTGCGAGAAGTGCCGCTGGGCACTGGCGCGAGCTCGTCAGACTGTGACAAAGGATTTCAGGTCTGCGATGTGGGCACGGCTGAGTTTTCCCAAAAGGGGATCTTTCAGCAAGTACGCACTACGGACGCTCACTGACAATCGGTTCATAAGAGCAAGTGGCTTGCCAATCCTTGGTTCCACCATTTGTCAGACGTCGCAGGCACGGCAATAGCGATAAACGCCATGCCTGGGCAGGTCACAACAAGGCTCAGTTCGCAAAAACTTTCGAGCCACTTAGGTGGCTACGAGTTCGTAGTGAGAGGATCGCAACAGTGAGGCTCTCAGACTTTTTGAGCATAGCCACCTTAAACGAATTCGCAGACTTCTCGCCGGTGGCTATATAGACTACAGGAAGCTGTCATGGTACAGCAAAATGAATCCACCGGTGACTCAGCGACACACGCTGGTTCCAGCCCCGATTTCGTGCACGCTGCAGAGCAAGCAGCGTAAAGGCGCTCTGTCTCTTCGGGACGGTCGTTATCAGCGCCCACTGCAGAGCAAGTAGCGTATACGACGCTCCGTCTCTTCAAACTTGAAACAGATCACTTTGTTGAGCTTTCAGTAGCTCTTCGCGGCTCAAAGCGATTCCCATTCTCCCAAAGGAAGGGAGTCTGTTATCGCGCCCACTCAGGACTGCAGAAACCGCCGCCGGCGACGACGTTACGGGTTCACTTTCGGCATCGTGGCTTTCGGACAGCTCCCCAGCTTGGCTGCTTGCGACGCGCCGCTTACCTGAATAGCAGCCAAGATCGTCCGCCTTTTTCGCCCCCGACGCTTGCATGTGCAAAGGCACCGCAAGCAGCTGTTGCGCCGGGATCAAGTTTCTCGGCCGACAACAGGGGGCACGAGATAGCGCGTCAGCTACCACGCTGGTTGACCCCAACCGGTGCTGACAGGTATAGAAGGGTGCCCGTCGATAGGGGCAATGACCTCGTTGTGCAACACAGCATCCGCCTAAAAAGGTCAGCGGACAAAAATGCCACGAAGCAGGCATGCTGTGACAAGCCCGAATCGCAGAGGCGAACTGACTCGCTAAGAGCAGTGAAAAGCTTTGAGCTTTTGATATTGCGTTTGGCACCAGTGTAGTGCACACGTTGGGTGTCAGGTAGTGTACACGTTAGGTGCCAGTGTGGTGTGCACGTATCCCGATAGAGTATAGCTACAAGCGTGGGTTCGGTTTTAGCAAGTCACAGGGCGCGCGTTAACCGTCGCTGTGAGTCGCTGTGGCGAGAACACGGTACTGTTCAAGGTCGCATTACTTCATTGTCTGCGGCAACACCAAAAAGGCAGTAGAGAGCCCGTTGCAAAAGGGGCGGCGGGAAAGAAAATAGGCTTATCCACGCCACGGGTGAGAAGTACTACATAGGGTACCACCGCGAGCACGTCTCCGTGGGCAAAAGTGATTTACGGCGACACCCGCACAACAGGGCCCGGTCACTCGAGCAAGAGCAAAACTTCCCTCGCGTTGGCTTCGAGAGATACGGGTCGGTGTAGTAAGACCACGCGCTAGGACACCGCACCGCTTTTCAACTTACTGTTCGAAAGGGGAAACGTAAAGGTAAACGTTTACCGTGGGCGCAAGGCACCGCTGGCGAAGTCCGACGAGCCCCAAACTATAGGAGCCGACGGACGGAAAAGAAATGCGTGTTCACCCTTCGTGTCCCGGAGAGATTCTCTCTCACTCTCGATTTATAATATTACAAAACGATAACATGTTTGTGAAGCACATTATAGCAGGGGAGTCCGACTAATTTTGACCCCCTGGGGATCTTTAGGGTGCCGCAAAGTACTTTCACCTATGAAAAGCAGCAGCATAGAAGCCTGGGTGAACACATTGCTTTTGCTTGAGCTCGTGTTCTTATTTCCTAAAAAATTCAGTTTTGAACTCCTAAATATTCAAGCATATAGGTTTTGCATGGCGCCTGTCAAGTTCCAAGTATTAGACAATGATTGTATTTACCGATATAAAAGCCTGTTTAGGTACTTCACTATACCAATGCTTTTACGCAATAAATGATAGGCACTGCCACAACAACATGAGTAATGATGGCTGTGAAAGTCAGCATTAAAAGGCAAAATTCAGGATACTCACGGCTATCATGTGTCATGTTCAGCAGTACACGAAGGACAGATAACAGGCAGGAGAAAAAAACGGCCCCAGGTCCTCGCAGGTTCTGCAAAACCACTGAGGTGATCTGGCCTTCCCCCATTTTGCTGCCACCAGTCCCTGCTGTAGGCTCATTGAGAACTGGGTGTACTAACAGGCTAGACTGGCACAGCAACAGCAGCCTGCAAACACAAAAAACTATATCTCAACTTGGTAGTACTCTTTTGATCATTGCATTATCAAAAATGAAATGTTTACGAAAAACTTCAAAAGTATTTATTAACAAGAGGAGGTTCTTATGCTGAGAAATGGAAAGCTGGAGTGCAAATTAGGCTGCGGTACTACTAGGTTGGTAATAGAACGTACAAAAGATGCACAGCTGGCTTAGCATGGCCATGGACAATTCATGAACTACCAGTTTCTTGTGGCATTAGGCTTGTGCAATAATTAAGGTGCTTTGAATACTCAAACAAATAATCATCCTCATCATCAGCCTGACTACGTCCACTGCAGGACAAAGGCCTCTCCCATGTTTCACCAGTTAACCCGGTCCTGTTCTTGCTGCTGCCAATTTATACCCGCAAACTTCTTAATCTCATCTGCCTACCTAACCTTCCGTCTCCCCCTAACCCGCTTGCCTTCTCTGGGAGTCCAGATAGTTACCCTTGATGACCAGCGGTTATCCTGTCTACGCGCTACATGCCCGGCCCATGTCCATTTCCTCTTCTTGATTTCAATTATGACATCCTTAACACCCGTTTGTTCCCTAATCCACTCTGCTCTATACTTGTCTCTTAAGGTTACACCTACCATTCTTCTTTCCGTTGCTCGCTGTGTCGTCCTCAATTTAAGCTGAACCCTTTTTGTAAGTCTCCAGGTTTCTGCTCCGTAGCTAAGTACCGGCAAAATACAGCTGTTATATACCTTCTTCTTGAGGGATAGTGGCAATCTACCCGTCATAATTTGAGAGTGCTTGCCAAATGTGCTCCACCCCATTTTTATTTTTCTCGTTACTTCAATCTCGTGGTTCGGCTCCATGGTTATTACCTGCCCTAAGTAGACATAGTCATTTACAATTTGAAGTGCACTATTACCTATCTCGAAGCGCTGCTCTTTTCCGAGGTTGTTGTACATTACTTTCGTTTTCTGCAGATTATTTTAAGACCCACCTTTCTGCTCTCCTTGTCCGTAATCATGAGTTGCAATGTGTCCCCTGAGTTACTCAGCAATGCAATGTCATCGGCGAAGCGCAGGTTACTAAGGTACTCTTCATTAACTCTTATCCCTAACTATTCCCATTCAAGGCTTCTGAAAACCTCCTGTAAGCACGCGGTAAATAGCATTGGGAAGATTGTGTCCCCCTGCCTTACACCATTCTTAATTGGTATTCTGTTGCTTTCCTTATGAAGCACTATGGAAGCAGTTGATCCCCTGTAGATTTATTCCAGGATGTTTATATATACTTCATCGACGCCCTGATTCCGCAGTGTCTGCATGACGGCTAATATTTCTACTGAATCAAACGCCTTCTCGTAATCTATGAAGGCTATGTATAGTGGTTGGTTATACTCGGAGCATTTCTCTATTACCTGATCGATAGTATGAATGTGGTCGATTATTGAGTAGCCTGTTCGAAATCCTGCTTGTTCCTTTGGTTGATTGAATTCTAATGTTTTCTTTACTCTGTTAGCAATTACCTTTGTAAATAGCTTGTATACTACAGAGAGCAAGCTGATTGCCCTGTAATTTTTCAAGTCCTTGTCATCTCCTTTCTTATGTATTAAGATGATGTTAGCGTTCTTCCAAGACTCTGGTACTCTTCCCGTCAGGAGACACCTCGTAAACAGGGTGACTAGTTTTTCTAACACAATCTGTCCTCCATCTTTCAGCAGATCTCATGTTACCTGATCCTCACCAGCAGCTTTGCCTCTTTGCATGCTTTCCAAAGCTTTTCTTACTTCTTCTATCATTACTGATGGGGTGTCATCTGGGTTACTGCCAAGTCTTATAGTATTAAGGTCGTGGTTGTCCCGGCTATTGTACAGATCTCTGTAAAACTCCTCCGCTATTTTAGCTATCCTATCCATATTGGTATTTATTTTGCCTTCTTTATCCCTTAGTGCATACATCCGATTTTTGCCTATCCCAAGTTTCCTCTTCACTACTTTGACGCTTCCTCCGTTTTTTAGAGCGTGTTCAATTCTCTCCATGTTATACCTTCTTATATCGCATACCTTACGACTATTAATCAACTTCGAAAGCTCTGCCAGTTCTATTTTGTCTGTTGTACTTGAGACTCTCATGATTTGACGCTTCTTAATGAGATTCTTCGTTTCCTGGGAAAGCTTGCCAGTGTCCTGTCTAACTACCCGGCCTCCAACTTCCACTGCACACTCTGTAATGATACTAGTCAGATTATCATTCATAGTATCTACGCTAAGGTTGGTTTCCCCCCTAAGAACCGAGTACCTGTTCTGAAACGAGACACTGAATTCATGTAGTTTTCCTCTCACTGCTAGCTCATTGATTGGCTTCTTGCGTATCAGTTTCTGCCGTTCCTTCTTCAAGTCTAGGCGAATTCGAGACCGCACCATTTTATGGTCACTGCTTCGTACCTTGCCAATCACGCCCACATCCTGCACGATGCCTGGGTGTGCACTCATTATAAAGTCTATTTTGTTCTTATTTTCGCCATTAGGGCTCCTCCATGTCCACTTGCGGTTTCCTCGTTTTCTGTAGAAGGTATTCAAAATCCGTAAATAACAAAGGTATTCAAAACCTCAGCATAACAAAGCACGTTTATGCATGGTCTTAGCCTAACGAAATTTCTCCGATACTGCTACAGACAAAACCTAAGGTTTTATGTGACAAGCCGTAGTGGCAAAAGAGACGTGACAGCTTCTCTTAACGCGTATTACAAGAGCGTTTGTTTCAGCTTTATACAGTACATATGGTCGCTGGGAAGGTCCTAGCTGGTGCTGCCTGAAGTCGTAGATAGACCAACAAAGAACTTTACAGAAGTCTTGGGGGACAAGCCGTGGGGCACCTGTAGGGCCCCCTGGTTCACCGCTGGCTGCTCCTATGTTAGAACTGGAAGGCCATGCCCGTCCACATTTTCAAGAACCCTCTGAACGGATTTTTCGTTTTTCTTTACGTTAATGAAATGTCTTTTTATTGCCTTTTCCTTCGAACATTCCTGCAGCATTATTGGTCTGAAAAAAAATTTCCGGTGACCATACTGACAGCCGGGCCCACTTATAACGAACTTGAGTGTGATGCAGCACCCGTTCACTGAATCCTGAAACTCGTAGTAAATAAAGCACAGCTTTAAAAAAAGTTGCGAGTGAAAACAACTTTTTTTTTCCCAAAAAGTTCGTGATGCACGTGTTTCGAATAACAGAAGCGATAAGGATGGTCTTGAGTTTATTTAGCGCGGCAGTGTGCTTTTCGCCGAGACCCGTGGCATACCGTATTTACTCGATTCTACCGCGCCCTCGATTGTAACGCGCACCCAATTTCCACCGCGAAAAAAAAAAAAGAGTAAGACATCGATTGCAACGCGCACCCATTTTTCTCGCTGGCCCGCACGATCACACCACTCGAAAAAACGGCTCCTTTCGGGAGCGTCTTCCGTTTAAATATGAGGTACGGGGGAAGCTTGGGCCTATCTGACGTGCAACGGAGCATTGCTGTCACTCTATTTTTACCGTGGCCCGATGTCAGCACGCAAACTTGCTTCGCCCCTTTCTTTTCGACGGTTGTGGTGCCAGGCATGTCGAAGTAAAGAGGCGTCTGATCGGCATTCCCGATTTGCCTAAGCAGGTAGCCGTTGTTGCGCCGCAAGTTTAGGACGAACCTCTGAAAACTGTGAAGCTTTTCATCGTACTCCTCCGCAAAACTTTTCGCATGTGCATGTTCCCCTTCGGAGGGAAAAGCCTTTCCTCTTCATAAAGTTAGTTAGCCAGCACCTGCTCGCTTTAAACTAGCTTCGCATTAGACCTTTTTCTAAGACTAATTGCATAGCCCCCACTTGAAGCAGTTCTGTCGTCACGGGCCGCTGTGCCGCTCGCTGCTCAAGCACATACTCGCCGAGCAGCTCTTTAATTTGCGGAAACCGACCCTGCTGTGGTCCACTGAAGCCTTTGCGTGAAGCTTTGCTGTCGACAATCTTCTACTTTTGTTTCCACCGGTCCCGCACGCACGTTTCGGGAACTCCGAACGACCGCGATGCGGCCCGATTTCCGTCCGTTTCTGCACACGCGATGACTTTTCTTTAAAAGCGGCATCGTGGTGCACTCGAGTTTTTGGAGTCGGCCCTTCCACGCCGTCGATGCTAATGCACTACTAGATGACGAACTCCTCAGCACACGTACGAAGTGCCGCACATGGGAAACACATAGGCAGAAATAGCCGACGCGCCATGCCGACGCACGTAGGGGGCGGCCATTTTGGATTTGCCGATGGCAATAGATTGACCGTAATTTTTTTGTTCGTACTCGATTCTAACGCGCATGCGATTTATGAACTCGCTTAACCGGAAAAAAGGTGCGCGTTAGATTCGAGTAATTACGGTATACGAGCTGCCTGAGTCTATTGTGTAGCTATTGTAGCCAATTGCTACAAGCATGCTTGTGGGCACTGACTCCAGAGTTTTGTCGCCCTCACCACCAGGTTCCTTCAAATCGCTCTTACCGTGCACTTCATTGACAATATTGAAAACAGTGACTGCAGTGTCGGCATCATTATGGGCCGTAATAAAGATGTCCCACACGCCCTCCCATGTCGGACTTGACGATGTGCTGCCACAAATCTCCACCGAAGTGGTCCTGTTCACAACCTTCAGGCTCGGTCGGTATCAAGTCCAACATCGACAAAGTCAGCCTCGCGAAAACAATTTTGCACACATGTAGCCATCAACGCCAACCACGAAGCCTTCACCATCTACACAGCTGAACGCAGAGCCGAGCGCGAAGTGAGCGAGAACAGGTACTAAACACGGAACGAATTGCGAATCATCAAGGTCGGAGAGGCAGCATCCGAGAGGCAGCCCAAGCACTTGCACTGGAACGATACAGCCCCGATGCAGACAAGACACAGATGAAAACAATCAGTTACAGTCGATGGCCAACGATGTTGGTAAATGGTCTGGTAACTTCAGGCTAGCTATGCCAACGTTAGTGTA